TCCTGTCCCTCCTGCACAGCCTATAGCCCTTGACATTCACCGCCCAGCTAGAAGTAGGTGCAAAAGTTCATTTTCAAGTAAAATGAAAATAACCCACAAATGTCAACTTGGTGAAAAATGTGACCTTGTACTTTGGAACAGATTTTGAGTGTTCTGATTTTGTCATGGAAAGCTTTCAGTTTTAAAGTTAGCAATCCCATAAGCTTATTTAACAGATCTAGTAAAATTGGGAACCACAATATCTGGTTCCTCATTCTAGATAAGATAATCTCTAATTTCTTTATACTTTTACAATCAATTGCAAAGCTTTGATGGGCTATTTATGGTAATGTGAAGATTAATTTTAGGCAGTTGTAGTTACCATTTCTTCCAATTATCCTCCACCTTTTATTTAAAATATTCATGTTTTTCCAAGTTACAGTTTGCAATTCAAACATTTTGTTTCAATATAAAATACAAATCACTTCTAGCCTCTTAAAAAACTACAGCATTTCTCATGTTATAACTTTTACTCAATTTCAATAACTAGATTTCACTCATCGATAGGATATCTCCATTTTCTTGCAATATGTAAATTTCCAGACCTTTTGCTTTCTGCATCTCACCAGAACATCCAAAAATAACTGTCTTCTTCAAAACCTATGCATGATCTGCTAACTCTTAGCTTTCATTATCAATCAGTAAAATATTTATACATCATGTTGAAAAAAATGAATGTTCCCATATTAAGTTTGATCATAGTCTCTCTTATTACCTTGTTATGAAATCTTTTACTAAGTCAGAACAGGAATTAGGCAGGGACTCTGCTTCTGTTAGGCAAGATTCCATTTATAGTATATTTTTTGTTCCTGTAACCAATCTTTTCCTCTATAATGAAATATAACTTTACCTTCCCTGGAGCTCCACTTTGGTAATTATAACTGAAAATTCTTCAGGACCTTCAGGAAGGTCATCATCAAGAATTTCAATCGAAATCTTTTTCATCATCTCATCTGGCTCAAATACAAGCTCCCCTGAAGTGGAAGTGAAATCCATGCCCCCCTCTGCAGTTCCATTTAACGTCTTGTACCAGAGCTTCACTTGGCCATAGTATCCACCGGAACGGAAAATTATGATGTTTACCTGAGGAAGACAAAACATGTTTTTTTTTAATTTCTAGCTTTACTTAGAATAAATTACTTAGGCCTCTTTTAAAGACATTATTCTAGAAACACTTTATCAATAAGCTTTACTAAATTAAAATAAATTCTAAACTACATGTTGATTTGATTTTTGTATCTAATCAAATAATTCAGAATTGTTCCTCTTCCCCACTCCCCACGCCTGTGTCTTTCCCACCTTCCCATCCCCACCCTCAATTGTCAATCCCAAAAACTCCAGAAGCTTACGCCACCAGGAGTCACTCTGAGGAAGGGACTACTCTGCCTCTGCATGGTATTATACACTTACAGAAAATAGTCTGGTTGGATTTCAGTAAATCATCATCAGATATTTAAGGTTAATTTAAAAAGCTAGTAAAATCATCTAACTGATCCATATTAGATTCATTCTGGCATCTTTTAAGTTTTATAGCCTTATTTCAATACCCATTTTTCTTCTTCTGTTGTCTGAAATAGCTCCTGTGAAAATTCAAACCGCCCATAGGGGAAGTCACTAGCAACCATAGTGATATTTGCTGTGCTGCTAGACTCATCTATAATGCCTCCATCACTGATTCCAGTTAGCTGAAACTCGTAGTAATGCTTCTCTTCAGGAACGTTATCATCTAGAGCCTATAGGGAAAAAACAAATAAAGCTGAAGAGGTTTAAAGCGTTCACAGTGTGAGATCTACCATTAATAGCTAACCAAAAAGGAAGTACTGGAATAGCTAATGCTATAGATCTCTCTTGTACCTGTATTAATACAACAGCTGCAGACTGCCCATCTCGCATCGTCAAGATCCCTGATATCTCAGCAAATTCCTTCTGAAGAGGGGGTGTTATATTCCAGTATACAGTGACCTCACCAGAAATCCCTGGACCACGTACTAGACTGTAGGTAAGAACATATATACACATTCATATGTTTCTGGTTCATGTTTAATTTCATAGCTTTAATATTTCTTATCTGTGTCTGACAGCTGATGCTCTGCCAGGTTGCTCTGAATCTGTGCCTGAACCAAAGAGGATCACTGAAGCTTGAATTTAATACAGTATGTCAGCACTACAATCCTTACAATTTCCTTTTTGCAGGTAGATAATGCATTGTAGTATCTGCAGTATTGTCTATGCTTTGCTTGCCCTGTGTACTGGACAATCTTTGGTGCTGGTGCACTACAGAAGGGAAGAGGCAGACCACTGAGCAGCAGGGCCTGTCAGCATTTTGCCATGTAAAGCAAAAGCATCCTGCTAGAGAGACCTAGTGGGGATATGCGTTTGGCTGCTACTCTAAAAATCTGGAGCCAGCTCTTCCCCTGTTACAGCAAGCCTGGCAAACCATGAGGGAGGGCAAGATTTATAGTTCTGCCTACACATTTCCTCTCCTGAGCTAATGCTCTGGGCAGTACTACCTAGCCCTCTGGAGTCCCCAGGCTGCAGCAAAACATCCTTTCTTATACTGGCATGCTAGAAGAAAAGCGGTATAAATACATGCTGGCTTATTTAGATCCTACATGTCCAGGTGCTTAGTTGTAAAAAGGTTTCAATTTATTTCCCATTTCTTTATTGCTTTGCATACCAGCAGACAAAACCAAATACTGATGCTTGATTGTGTAGCAGTAATTACACAGGACCAAGTTCTGAGAAGGCATGAGCTTTGCAGTGCGACTGAATTTCCACTTTTCTTTTTCATGCTTCAGTAAAAAGCCTCTTCCTTTTAATGCATTCACATCTTAAAGTCTTTGAAGATCCTCCAGGCTCCCCATGTGGCAGGTATGATCCAAATATACTTCGTACATTGTACCATGCTTTTAAAATAAATGACTTTCCTGAAAATGATGTGACACCCAATTTTCAGAAACAGGATAGGTACAACACCCTACAACTTCTTTGGAACATATTGATGTTCAGTACTTGTATAAAGTGCTGAACATTCAGACCATGAGCAGAGAACTCAGTTTTACCTACCCAATAAATGCAGTTCCACTATAATTTCTGGAGGGCTCCCCAATGAAAATATGCTTGGATGATGGAGATATCCCGACAACCCCAGAAGCTCCCTGATCACCAAGAATAATGATGGTTGCCAGACCTGTGAAGAGAAGTCAATGAATAATATTTAAATTAGATGGTATCATTAAATGTACATGACAATGACAAAAACGGAGTTATAAATAACTTGCACAGAATATATAGACCTTGAACTTTTAAAAGACTTCATTAATTAATACAAACACCATGCTGGCTATATAATATTACCCTTGTCCTGTATATGGGGCAACTGAGTCAAATGGCCCAATTCTCACCTCAACTTACACTATTTTTATATGGTTACAATTTCATCAACTACATGTTAATTGGAATTGAGACCGGCCACACTGAAATCCATGGAAGTTAAATAAATAAATAAACATAATCAAATAGTTTAACCAACTTTTACAAAACAAAGGAGTGACAAAATTAAAAAGTGTATTATACAAGTTCTAGCACTAGCATTTTATTTACACCTTTCACTAAAAATTATATAGTGGAATTAACAATAAAATTATATATTATATAATGATTAAATTACATGATTTGTGATTATTGGTAAAAGCATATCATAAAATTACACATCCTATAATTTAAACTAAAGTAAAATTAAACATAATATATGATAATACATCAAAATAATTCAAATGAAAAAATATGAAATATTAGAATAAAAAATTAAAACGGGATTCTATTTAATTTTGGCCCCTGTTTTTTGTACAAGTAGCACAAATACATTTACAGAGTATAAAAAGGCTGTAAGTTGATAGAGAGGAGCCAACTTGTTTTTTCTTCATTAGTTTATTATTTAAAAATTTCCATTAATGGAGAGATCCATTTCCCTCTTATTTCTTCAAAGAATGAACACCAGCACAAACAGTGATTTAGGTTGTCAATTTTATTCTTCCCATGAGAACATATCCCGTCAGAATATGGGGTCCACCACCACCTCCCCATAATGACTGCAGACCTCATTAAAGTGAACTGCAGTCTCACAATGGCCTCTCATTATTTGTGGTTTTATACTTCAGATAGGTTTCTAGGCCAAAAGAGTGTTTATTAATTTAAAAAAAAGGGGAAGTCTGAAAAAAATCTCACTGCCTTCATGCTGGTATCTTTCATTCTTAAAATTAATCTCGTTTTAAATATGAACAAAATCTTTACTTGATATTCATTGCTTGTGCATTACACACAAGAGATTAATAGTGGAAAGCCAGCCTGTTTAAACTGGTCACCTATACCATACATTTAAGAATTAGCTTCAGGGCAGGATATATTGGAGTTTATGATTCAAAATCTCCCTCTGAGAGAGAATTTAGCTCTTAAACTTACTTCTTTTTACCTTTTATTTCCTAACATACTAAATCTTGGTTAGATTTTAGCCACTTTAAAAGGGCAGGGGGGTATGTGCAGAGCTGTTTTGATCTGAATATTAGATCTGCATCTGCCTTTAGTGATCTAAGTTAGCCCTAGCTTTGACCCTGAATGAAGCAGGATTGGAGTGGCTGTTACTATGCTTATATCACTACAGAATGATGCAGACATAACAGTTGTATCATAAGTCTGTATCAATATCCTTTTATACTGATACAGTTATTACATCTGTCTATCCCCACTTTATTATTTCCTTACCGTTTATTGGGGATATTTCTGCCTCACCAGTAGAAACTAGCTGAACTGTAAACATTTCATTCCCCTCCAACAGGCCATCTTGTATGGCATGTAAAACAATTGTCTTCTGGGATTCAGTCTGCAACAGGAAGACAAGGAAAACTTACAGTAGTCAAAATTCCTATCATGCAAGGAGTCAGGTATGCATAAAGTCAGTGAGAGTAAAGACAATTCAACACATGGCACATTCTACAAATCTATCTAAATTTTAAAAAGATGTATGCAAAGTTGAAGTTTCCCTCAGATTAATGAAAAACCAAAATCATGTCTTCAAGTTACAAAAAGCAACAGTAGCTTCTTTCTGCCATTATAAGCTTCCCCCCCACCCCTGCAAAATTCAAGCCTAAAAATAAAATGAAATAATTTCCAAAGAGTCCAGGATATATCTTATTACAGATCCCTCTCTGCCCATGAGAAAGCCCCAAACTTGCTGCTAGGTGGAGCTCATTAAAATTTTTTCCAGTCAAACGTTTTTCCTCTAAAAAAAAAAAACACAGATTCAATCAAAATGACGCTTTTCCAGGAAAAATTTCAAAGCAAATTACCCCATTTTTGGGCTTTCCAACAACATACCTACTATCCAGTCCCTCAGATAGTCAGTTTACAAAGGGTGAGCTCCTCCACCTTCCCCAGCCTAGACATCCCTAGTTGGCCAGCTCTCCAAGCAGCCTACATGATGGATTTGGGGCTGCCTGGTTCTCAGGCTCTCCACACTGGCTCCTGTGAAGCTGAAAATCCTGGGAAGCATCATAACATTTCAGAAACACCAAAACATATTTTGTGCAGGAATGTTTTGGTGACTTGAAAGTTAAATATTGCAGAATTTCATTATGTGCTGCCTTTGCACCTCTCTCATAATCTGAAGGAAAAAAGAGTTTACAAAAAGCTCCCTAATTTTTGGAACAAAATTCTGTTTCCTGGCCAGTTCTCCTTGAATTGAATGCTCCCAAAGTAAATGACACACTTACGAGGGTTGTATTCTAGGTTGTAAAAACTTCCAGAAACCTTTGGCTGTTCCTACAGCTACAGCAAACTTTACTTCAACAATTAAATGCTTAGAAAAAAATCAGTAAGACTGCAAGTTGATTGTATCTCTGTACCATTATACAGTCGTTTAAATAAACGGGCATTATTGTTGAAAGATCTAATTGTCAATATATTAGACTAATCAATATGTTACCTGGTGCAATTAATTCAGTTATAAAATAGAAATATCCCAAGATACACATTAAATGTTATTTTACTTGAAATGAATTTTTTTCTTGTTCAGTACTTTAGAAAGCCTATAACAGACAAATTAGTCTGTTACAGTCAACTGCCAATAGCTTCACAATTCTCAGACAAAGTTATTTCGGTAAATCTGATATCTTTTATTAGACAAACTCACAGAGCTGGAAAAAATATTCTTTGCAAGCTTTCAAATACAAATATCCTTCGTCAGGCTGAAGAAGCATCTACAATTGGTCTGTGCTCTTCCTGGATAGAATGAATAGTAAAGAAGCAAGAGGCTGGTATGCATGCAAGAAAGCCAGTCAGTGAAATCACAATTCTCAGTCTTTAATGCTGTCTTCATGAACTTCCCCCACCCCCAACACACACACTATGGCGTGCCTTCATACATGCAGGGCAGACATTTCAAAGGCACTGTAACTTTTACACTTAAGCCTGAAGAAGGGTGATTGCACCCAAAAGCTTGCAAAGAACTTTTTTCCAACTACTCAGTTGGTCTAATAAAAGATATCACATCTACCCCAAAGAACCTTGCCGGCACTTGTACCTAAAGTGCTTTAAGTAAACGCCTTAAAACTTAATAGACATTTCACAGTTTGGTGCAAGCCTCATGCTTTGCTGTAGCTCTGCAGAGTAGGAGGCAGGGGTGCTGGATGATGCAGCAATTAGTAATTACCACTTTGAAGAGCCCCAGTTAATTATACATGCAATAAAACTAAACTAGATAGGCTGAGATGCACCACTACAGTTTGCCTTGCATTTAAAACACATACAACAAGGTTTAATCAAGATGACTTCCACCATTTAAAATATGTTCCAAAGATGCCCACATGTAGTGTGATGGCTTTAGAATGCTTTAAACGGTGAAAATTATCATGTATACAGGCACCATATGAAACCTTTAACTTGGGCAGCTAATGGCTACTTGGAAGGTTAGTTGGGAAAGTATGCTCTTTATTTTGAAATGGCTGCCTCTTAATTGTATGTTTGATCCCTCTATACAGCCAGCTAAGTGTCAGTTAATGCAGTGAGATATCTTAATAATGGCCATGGGAAAGAGTTGTTATAACATTTTGATTCTCTTAAAGGTAATTTACAGCATTTAAAAAACTCCCATTTCTTGGATGACTTATAATATGCCGATCTGCTAGAGGGAACAAGCCACAACCTCTTTTCTGAATTAAAGATATTACATATCTTGCTCATACCACCCTACTGTATTTATTTTCCTCCTGTTTTGTTATAATACATAACAATGCTCTACTAGTACACAGTTGTGTGTGTATAGGTTGATGCACATACATACACACACACACACAGTCACAAACATATAACTGTTTATATATAACTACATACAAAAAAGATAAAGTTTGTACATGTAAGGAGAACAAATGGGATGTTATAGCACTAGGAATACCTCATTAAAGTGAAGAGTCCCATTCAAAGGAGTAAGGTCATATCTGGCTGCTTCCTCAAGAATCCATATCACTCGGACTTCACCCTTTCCTCCTTGACTCCGACTAACAGTGAGAAACACAGTTGCAGCAGGGTCACCAGGTGACTCTGGCTCCTTAACTGTTACCTGAAGAGAGAAAGGAGAAGGAAGAGTTAGGAAAGACAGTAAGAAAGAACATTAAAATATTATGTTACTATAAACATTACCTTAGGAAAAAAATATAATGCTGCTTTTAACACATGAAAATATATTATTTTCTAACATGTCTCCAAGACACAAGACTGAACATCCTCTGCATAGAGGCATTCTGTTGAATGCCTAGAAAAGATTAGTCACTTAATGTATTTCTGTATCCCTTATGATTCAAAACAATTATATGCAATGAATCACTGAAAAAACAGAGAAAAAATGATACAATAGCAAAAGGGAAAGCATTCTACATCATTAGACATCTTAAAAGAAATTAAAGCTGTAAAGGCCCAGTAATGAAAAATGGGGATGTGTGTGCCTGAAGTTAAGCTCTAAAAAACACATCTAAATTGTTAAATAGCCCTGATCTTTTCAAGTCTGAGAACTTCCTTACCATAACACAAAGGAACAGGAGGGCCTAAACCCATCCATGCAGCCCAATTCAGAGAGACCACAGGGGCCAAGATAACAGTTTTGTGGCGTCTCTGTGAGATTTAGAGGAAAGCAGGATGGATTTGCACCTTATAGACTAACTAAAGTAGGTACGTAAATAGACAGACAAAGCAAGCTTGTGTGAGCTGAAGCTCACTTCACCAGATACTGTGAAAGGATATGCAGAAAGCAGAATAAAGGAGCAGATTTAGAGAGGCAATAGACCTATGAAAGCATGGCAACTTCGCACATGGAGACCAGTTCTCAGTCTTCCTGCCCCGAGTGGTGTAGGAAAATGAAGGATTATTTAAAAATACATATGCCAGCTATATAGCATATGCAAATTGTAGCGTAATAAAATAGCCTGGCATATTTGTGAAAACTATTTCTTCAATTTAAAGCAGAGTGCTTTACAATTTCGCTCCTAAGACATCCTTCACATACACCCTATTACCAGACAAAAAATAATAATGTGACAGAAAACCAGATACAAATCTGCTAGGCTGGAAAACCAAATAATTCTCTCCTTCTGAAGCAAGAAGGAACCTATTTATATTAAATACTGGAGGCTACATATACACCCCAATATACTATTTATTGTAGGGACTTGTACTGAAAAAGAAAACCACTTGTGTCAGCTCATCACCAGCATTTTCTCACTCCTTCCTTTCTCTGCAAAACCAAACATCCAAGGGCTTGCTTTAGATGTCCCTTCTGTTTATAAAAATTCCAAGGTTTAGTGGGAATCAGACAAAACACCATGTGACCTAGTGACACAATGTGTAGCCAGAATAACCAAAGAACCAGATTATATCTTTTATTGGCAGATCTAGGATTTCAAAAGGGACGACGTATACAGGAGATGCAACCAGCACCCTAGAGGTGACTGCATCTCCCACTACCAGCAGCCTTTCCAACCCTGGTAAGCAGACCATGTCCCAGAAGCAGCTGCTGGGTCTTTTTGGGTCCCTGAAGCAGGTAAGAGTCCCTCACTGCCTCCTGTTCTTGGCAGCCCTGGTCCTCCCCACTCAGTGCCACCACACCTCTCCTCCCCACCCTGCTCCAGCACGGTTTGCCCAGAGCACTAAAATTATTCATTACACCTCTGGGCACAGGAAGGGGGGCATGCATTGACACCCCTGCTATCTCCAGCTGGCCCTGGAGCAGTAGATGCCCCAGCGGTGCTCCTACCCCCTCCAGCTGGGTGCTGTGGGCAGAAGCTGCCTTGGATGCCTGGGAGAGAGATAGTGGTGATGGGTGGATTTGCTCCTTCTTGCACCTACTCTCATTCTGGGGACAAGCCCTCTTTCCTGTACCCCCCCCCCATGTGTTCTCTGTTCACTGAGAGCAGGCACAGGCAGGTGGGGGGCTCCCTACAGCCCAGCTCCCTGCACAGCCACATCCCACAGCTAGAGCCTCCAGCCCAGTGCGGGGAAAACCAGGGGAGGGGACAGGGAGTAGGGACCTGTCTGCTACCATTACTGTGACTGGCAAGCCCCACACACAGTACAGCCAGTCCCCACAGCCCCCAGCTGGAGTGGGACAGGAGCAACTCTGGGACTTCCTCTTTCCTGGGTCAGACAGGAACAGTGGCAGGCAGGTCCCCGCTTCCTTGCCTGCCACCTGTGTGGTCCCAAGTACCTCCTACCAGCCTGAAGCTCCAAATGCAGTTCAGGCTCTGCACAGGATGCAGGCATTTGGGACTGTGAGAAACTGATGCCACTAGCATATGAGCTGTACTTTGGAAGGAGGGTGCAACATTGCCCCTCCCCTTCCCCCCCAATCTGCCCAGATACGTTTTCTGAACGACCAGATAGGCAAAATTACTCTAAACTATCTGTGAAATATTTAAAACAACAAAAACTACATTTATAAAAATAAAGTTTATTGCTTATATTTCATACAAAATTAAACAATTAGCTAGCATCTCACTATGCTTTTGTCATGAAGACTCTAAATTTAACTGTCATTCCTATGTAAGCTGTTTCTTAGCAACAAAACACTTCCACATAGCTCATATGCCAACAGTGGTTACCATATTTACTCAAATAGAAGATAACCGTGATTGTAAGACAACCCCCAAAAATTAAATTCTGTATATGGAAAAAATATAAATTTGTTATAATTTTCCAGGTACAGAATCTAATTATTGGAGGTATGCTTTAAATTTGTCCCCCTCCCACTGCTACAGCAGGGGAAATAAATCTGAGGGTTAGGTAGCCCCTTTACTCTCTGCTTCTCCCCATGCAGCCCCTTCCTCCTCTCTTGCAGTCCCTTCCCTCTCTCCTTACTGTCAGACTCTGCTCTCCCTGAGCACGTGGAAGTGAGAAAAAACTTGAAAACACTGGCCTTGAAATTAAACAGAGCTGCAGTAATTTGCACATGGTACCCATACGCATAGTTCATCTAGAATTGATGCTGATGCACATTACCTATTTGAAACTGCAGGAAGCTTTACAATTTTAAGCAGAACTTTGCGGGGGGGGGGGTGCATGCATGCGTGCGTGCGGTATTCAGCCACATATCAATTGAGCAGAACTCAATTGTTACAAAAACCATAAGGACTGAGCAGGCAGAAGTCAAATTGTTCTAAACACCATGTATGGGCCTACAGCTAGTGAGCATGCACCAACCCAGGCTCTCACCGTGGGACTTCAGATACTCCCAAATCCATTGGCAGGCATTTTACATGCAGGCCCAAGCCTGGAGGTCTTGGCATTCAGATGCACCAGCTTGATCTACACCTACTTACAGTACAAACTTTGTTATATTATTCCAAAGGCAAAAGGCTCATGAATTCATTGGGCTTTGCCATAGTAGAGCCAACAGCATTTCAAGCCACAGTGACCCCACAGCTCAGTATGTGTACACTCCAGATACCCTCACAAATGATCCAAGTGCTAATTAGCTCCCCACATGACTGGAACCAGGTGTTCTGGTCATGAGTCCTGGGATCCTCCAAAAATGTCTATGCAGATGAAGCACAGGGCAACCAGGTCCAGCTTCTCTGGGCCTGGGAGGGCAGGGCCACACTAATCATATGCAACAGGCTAAGAGAGTGGGTAACAGAGGGATTCTAGCTGAGCTGTATGGAGCCCTGTTTGGTGATATTTGCCAGACGTTTAAGGTTGGTGAAGAAAAAAGGAATCACTGAAAATGGGAAGGAAAGCTACAGTTCAGCCATGACTTGAAAAAGAGCTGAGGGAGCACTGAGGGGGACTGTGCTTAATGGGCACTCCCATACATCTTTTTCACATGTGCTGTTCTTTTGGCTAAGGGGTGCTCTGGGGCACAGGGGAGTGGGTGCATTTATTGTAATAGGAAGCACAGGTTTCTTAATGTGATTTTAAGATGTGTGATGGAAAGTTTATGATAGAGGATATATACATGTAACTCTCTATATAGAGAAATATATTCTGATAAAAAAAAACAAAAACAAAGAAAACAAAACAAAAAACAAGCATTTCTGGCACCAAGGAGAAGGTATCAGGGCTGGCTTTGGCCCTCAGTGCCAGTACCTCCTGGTGCAGTGCCAGTTCCTTGTGCAAGGAACACCTGCCCCATTTTTTAAAGGAGCAAAACATTCAGTACCTCGACCTTTTGGGCAAGATCAAATATAGCATTTTTGGCACCAATGGGAGGGCCCCGCAAAAAAATTCAATTTCCATCAGCCCATTTGCCCAATATGGGCCATGTCTTTTACAGTCGGTGTTGGCTGCATTTAATCAGCTTCATTGTTGGTTTCCACTGCTGAGCACATGCTGCTATTGGCAGCAGTTTAATGATAAACAATGTATTTAATGAGGTCTTCTTGTATGTAAATATAATTTGAGAGGCTTTTTACCCCATGCTGATAGGAGGAAAAAATCTTGTCTTGTATTCAAGTAAATACAGTAATAAATAGAGATGAGGGTAGCAATCCAAGTAAGGATCCCAAAAAGTTTGTAAAACCTGCACTGAAGTTCATGAGTCTTTGTGCTTTTGCATGGAACTACACCATGAATAAAACTTACACTTTTTTCTTCAAATCCAAATACTCCAACAGGAGAATCATTTGGTGGAATAAATATAGTCACTGTGGTATCATCCCCAAGCCTGGCACCACCTGTCACCCAGATTAAGGTGACGCTGAATGTCTCTAAAAATTCAACTACAGTGTCATCTATTATTGTGATTTCTATTACTCCAGTGGCCTGTAAAAGACAAAGAACAAATTAATAATACATTTTAAGATGCATCTATGACATCAGTGGACTGTACTTTCCAAATAAAACTCAAAGATTTGAGTCTTAGATTTTTTAATTGTAATAATGTAATTTAGGATATTGCTAGATAAATTGTAATACATTTTATTATAGATATGTAAAATTATATTAATCTATATTCATCTATGTAAAATAAGATAAAAAGAAACTAATGTTCAGAATATATTTAAAACTCATTTATGGCAAGTCCTGTGAAAGCTGATGAAATCTTAAAGACCCCAATATAGTGTAAATTAAAAAAAAAAAACAACTTGACAATCATATTTTCTTCTGAAAAATGTTGGGCTAGCTGTTATAACAGGTAATCAGTAACATCACTATTAGCAAAGAGAAATTAAAACAGAACAAAACAAAACAAAACTCTGTGCAGTTTTGTTTTGGGTATGGGACAGTTTAAGCAGTTATAGTTATGCTGGTGAAGTTACACTTTCATGTTGCCGTGGCAAAGCTCACAAATACACTTTTCCTAAGCCAGCATGAAACTGAAAAGGCATCAAGCATAAATTTTCATGGCACAGGAGAGCTGGGACCAAACGTATTTGGAACTACATTGTCCCTTCCTAAAAGGCACTGCTGAATATTTATCAAGTAACCGAAAAGCCCTTTTAAAATTTAGAAGGATTTTTTAAACATTTCAAAAGTAACAAGGTGATGTATCAAAAAAAAATATTTTTTAAAATTAGTAAATTATTTGACAATGCTCCTTTAAGGAAGTTTTTGTAGTAATACAAACAAACACAACGGTGCACTGCAAATTACCAAACTCTCTTCAAATTTGTAATCTGAGGTCCTGTTGGTATACATGTTAAAAAATAAGTGTTCAGTCTAGATGATTCCTGCTTTTTTCTTCAGTTATATATCTCTTTAGCAAGTAACAACATGCCCTCTGTGCTGCATTTGGTCCTAACCAAGATTTCATTCACAAAGCATATCTTTCTTTTTTTTTTTTTTTTTTTTTTTGTCCAAGCCCACTTTTCCTTTCTCCTGCCAAAATATCTAATTTCTCTCTTAATATGACATGAAATCTAAAAACATATATACACACAACTAAAGAAACAAAGCAAGCCACTGTTTGATTACAACAAATTATGGGTTAATCTGAATTTCTGACTCAGCAGCCAATTGATGGGCACGTAAAAGTAGAGGAACAGCCTGGCTGACACACCACGAATCTCTTAGTTTAAACACTAAACTGCCATTAAAGTCAATGGGACTTCTCACATGCTACAAGTGAAGCAGCCATATAAGTGTCAGCAGGTTTTAACTGAAAGTCTTTAGTGAATCATTACTCAGTTTTTATAAGAAGGAGATAAGAAAGACCCTGCCTGCATATCCCAGAAAGGCTTATATTTACAGCAATAGCATACTTGTCCTTCTGAAAATGTAAGGATTCCAGATGATGGAGTGAAGTCTTCCAGGCTAGCAGTGGCAGGTACTGCTTCCCAATAGAGATCTACTGATTCAAACCTCCCAGCCATCCGAATCACTGGCAGCTTCAGTACATTCTCCGGTGGAGGCACTTCATAACCAGGAACAGCTCCACTTATGTCCTAAAAATGCAGAAAAAAACATTCAGTACCATGGCAAAAGGTTTCTTTTTTCCTATTCTCTCCAGAGGCCTGATGCTAAATAGTGCCAGAAGTGTGGAACTATGCCCTAACACTACATTTAGATCCTTTGATATATGACCTCTAAACAATATAGTATTTCTGATCTTTACTATACAGATAACACCACAAAGATTAAGGAGATCATTTGATTTAGATTTACGGTAAAATAAACCACTGTTTTTTAATGCATCTAGTTCCCAAATGAATTAAGTATATTTGCAGTAAGGAAACTTGCATACAGAAATAGCCTGTCCAGCATTTGGCCTGTTAATTAATTACAAATTACACTTATTACCTGAAATGTTTTTACTACAAATTTAAAATGCAGCCTGAAAATTGCTAGAACACACTATTCTGTACTTTATATCCAGTCTTACCCTGGTAACATTGAAGTTAAATATTCCTCTGGGGTCATCATTTTCTTCAATCATTATCTCAGCTATTTCTAACCCAGGTCTCTTCACGCTTGGCTGCCCTCCAGTGAGAGAAGAGTCTACCAACTGCACATCAGTAATATTGATTATGAATCCTTCATGTAATTCTGGAACGTTATCCTGTAAAGATATTTTTAAAGTGTCACCTCCTTTATAAGCTCATGTTCTAAAATGGATATTATGAAAGAAGGGAACTGACTGGGTAGCTGTGCTGCTGACTAGGCATGTACCAGATAAAACTGCAGCAGCTGGGATTATATAACCAATTCTCTGCCTCATCATACCATCTCTGAAAGGGAAAGAAGCTTTTTTTTTTTTTTTTTTTTTTTTAAACTCTATTGGATTTTGGGGATTTGAGGTTTCAGTCCAAACTAAAAAAAAAAAAAAAGTTTTTTTTTTTTTTTAAACTCTATTGGATTTTGGGGATTTGAGGTTTCAGTCCAAACTAAAAAAAAAAAAAAACTTTTTTTTTTTTTTTTTTTTTTAATACTCTAGTGACTTTGAGGACTTGAAGTTGTCAGTCAGACCTAAAATCTACAAGAATTTTAATGAATACTTCCGGCTGCATCCTTGTTTCTTTTTCATACACGAAAACAGGCCAGAAATCCAAAAACTCAGAAAAGACTTGAAAAGTAATATCTTCTCAATTTTGATCATGCTAAAAATCATTATACCTATTGCACTGATTATTTTTCCTGAAAAACTGGAGACCAAATCTGTTAAGGTATATAAAGTGAAATTACTGTGCCCTTTCTGAAGGAGTTCCAAATGAAAATCTTAACACATTCCTATGAGGGTTTAAAATTCACCAAAACATTTTTTTTCATTCCTACAGAAAAAGGAATTGGGTTGAAAAAAAAAAAAAAGAAGCACTTGGACCATTCACAAACTAGTCACCAGTGTCCATTTCTGCTGAAATGGGTGCACACAGTTCTATTTAAAAAGCCAATGTTTCTCTAACAAGATTTCAGAACCTTGCCCCATTTCTTCTTCCAAAACCACCTCTATATTGCCTTTTAAAACATATACATGTTAGCCAGGAAAACTTCAATTACTCACAGGCAAAATGGTGACTCTGACATAAGCCACTGTTGTGCCCTCTGCCATAATTATTGTTTCCTCTTCTATTATATAATCTTCATTTTTTGTGGCTTGGTTGGACGGCAGGAGTGAAAAATTAGGCTTTGAACTTAACTGCACTGAAATGTCTCCAACAAATCCTTGTTCTCGAAGAATTTGTAAAGTAACAATAGTTGAAGTCTCTGCAAGAAAAAATGGGAAATCTCTATTAGCCTGTTAGCCATCAAGATATGCTTGCTGTAACTATTTTCCAGATGATTTTTTATTTCATTTCACTGAGCTAGAGTTGTCTGAAACCCTCAGTGAAATCATTCAAATGTTAGAGTATACATCTGATCTTTAAAATCCCAGCCAGGACCCTCCCCATTTAGTGAATCAAGCAGTTAAACACCCACAGGAACTATCTGGATTTTTTCAGAGCATATATGGCATATAACGACACCTTCCTACTTGTTCCCAGCCAGCCCACTTATTCTAGTGGGCTTCATATATTTTGAATCACTCTGAAGACACTTTTAATATAGATACAGAAAAATACCTCTGAGGCAGTGCATCTGGTACTGACAGTCAGTTTGCCCCTTATTCTGCCTGCCTACATCTTGAATTCCCAAGGAAAGGAGAAGCACTTTTACCAGTGATGGCCCCATCCCCTTTGGGAAACTAGATTTTTCACAGGTGTCCAACAATCTGTCCAATGCTCACGAACTGACTGGAAGTTTGGGTTCTAGAGCTGGACAACTGGGTAAGGCTAAAGCATAAACAAAAAGGACAGGAAAAAGACAACTTTTGAGTGTTGCCTTTTAAATGATAGTTTGCCGTACAATACCATTTACATTTTACATACTAAACCTTACAAGTAACTTCTGTATTTACCTCAGCTAAGAAAGTGAAGATGACAGGGCTGACAGCTCAAAGCATGGATGTAGAACTTTTTTTACGTGGTGGGAAAGGACTTTAAGCCTGAAGCTGCTAGTGCACAGGAGGCTGGGCAAAGAGCTTTTGAAGCTCAAGGGATATACAGAACAATGGGATACAGACTAGTCTTGGAAAGGGAGAATTCTATCTAAGAGCTGGATACCAGGATGAGAACAGGAAAACTGAGTGGTGGGGCTATACTCACACAGGAAAGAATATGAAGTTCACAGGATCAATAACTGCTGGTTGAAAATATGTCGTAAGGGAAAGGTCTTCAAGTGATAATCATTCTGATTCTACAGACTGCCTAGTTGGCCATCTATTGCTGTCCTACAACAGCTTACTCTGAAGAATACTAGCAAAGCTGCAGCAACACCTCAGACTTCATTTCAAGTAAACTTTTGCTCCCTACCCAGCCAGGTATTTGTCTCTCTATTCAAATCATGCAGAATGGAGGTGGAGAGTCCTATCAATTTCTGTGGAGTAGTAAATGCATAGTGGCAGCACAGGAATGTCATATACCACCTGCCTTCCATAGATTTTCTGTCTGGCAGCCTTTTGCATTGCACAGACAGACAGCAAGTTTGAGCCATTCATCTTAATCTAAGTAATAGCCTGTGGCCAGTGTAGAATCTGCAGGATTAAACATCTCTGCAGCATGTGATCTATAAAGGCAATAATAATATTTCAAGGAAGACAGAGGAAACTAATAAATATGGAAGGGTCCCTTAAAAACTAAATTCCAAAATGTTAATATTATTTTACAGCTTACTATACACCAGCTACTCTTTAGAGTAGGGCTGGCCACAAATTTCTCACTATAATGGAAGTTTCTTTTTCAGAAAATCTAAATTTTCTCTAAGGAGGAAATAAAAATACACAAGAGCTTTCCTGGTAGACATGCTTAGGCATCCTGGTCTCTGAGCATTCAGGCTTCTCACTTCCACCCCCTACAACCCAGGTACCAGGAAGGCAGCTGAGCTGCAGAAAAACAAAATGATCCGATGTTCTGACCTCTTCCATCTCCTCCACAGCGAGTAAGCATCCTGATGGGCAATCAGGGAACCTGGACACCAGGACAATCAGTCTAGGACAGCCTGCCTATAATGTGCTATATCAATTTCACTTTCTACTTGCATGGAGATATTGACAAGGACTGGTATAGGCAGGCAGCTGGCAAGGTGAAAATCTCATTTCAGTTTTTTTAAATTAATATTTTCTGACAATCATTTTTCACAGAAGAAAAAAAGTAGCCTTTTCTTCCAATCAGACACCTCTTCTGGCCAACTCTATTTTTAGCAATTAGAAAAGAGATTCTATAAACTAGAAAAAAAACCTATAAAAGCAAGTTAATAGCACAAGCAACCTGAAGTGTTCTTATATAAACAATTACTGAAGATTTTTGACTCTATAAAATTAAAAAAGTGACATAGTTCTATATGTCTAAGGATGCTTGCCTGCTAGGGTGCATTGCTTTTGTTGGTTAATTGATTTCAGTGCAGTGACACAGTGGTCTAGATGCCTTGTTATATAACTCCTAGACATGTGAGCCTGGGCCCTACTCTGGATTTTTCTTAAAGGGTACCCTCAATCAACTAGGAGTAATTGGGTACCTGTTCATTCAGGCTGAGAAGTCGAAAGCAACTGGATGTGATGCAAGCCACATCACTCTCTTGAATCCACTCGCTACAGAAACTAGTATACTTTAATTATGGTAGCCATGTGAGACTACTAGGTTTGGACAGACTTTTGATGTCACCATAGTTTGGGATTTTGCTCAAAACTAAAATATTTTTTTAAACTGTAGAATAAAATATTACTAGCTAAAAACCCATATAACTATCTGAGTTTGTAAAGATGCTGATTTTGAAAGCCACAAATATTTGCCTTGCCAGGAAAATAACACCAACCTACCTTCAGGCTCTGTAACTTTAACAAAGAGAGATTCTGCATGCCAGCCAACTACGCCGTAAGGAGAATCATTAGGCAGAATAGTAAGCACAGCCCTGGCCCTCTTCGAGTCTATGATAGCTCCTCTTGTCAGATCCTGAATACCCACAGTAGTGACATGGGTAAGTGTGATAACAACAGACTCTGCAAGTTCTGCGATGCTGTCTGCAAGAACCGTCAAGGTGATGGTAGACAGGGCTTGACCTTCTGAAAATGTAATCTAGAAGTTTAAAGGGGGGGGGAAAGGTCAGACATTTCATTTTGTTTTATACTGCTGTTCATCTTCACCATGATCTGCCTTTGCATTCATGAAATGTGCAAAACTGAAACCATTTAGGACAGAAAAATAAGTGAAAGGGATCCAAAGGAGGGATCCAGGCAAACAGAAAGATGAGTCACTTTGAAGAAAGGCAAGTATATAATTGTGGCAAAATAATCAAAAGCACATGATTCTGATAGAGCAGGAAATACATCTTAATTAGCAGTGTCACTTTGGGAGATAAACACCCATACTGCTCAATGACTTCAGCATATCTGCAAAAAGTCAAGCCACCTTAATTAAGAAGCACTTAAAATGGATTTAAGTGACATCCCATTCTGAAAACTGCAGCCTGACTTGAAGCAGAACAACAATAATTTCAAAATAATTATGCAGCTGCATTGAGGCTTCTTCTATCAAAGACTCTGATTTGTTGCTGTGCTTTCACAAAAATCAAGAAACTGAAAAAGTCAGTACAACCTTGAGCTGAGCTGAGCTGAGGCACAGAAAGTATTTGTGCAAGAGTGCTAACTACAGGAAATCAGGTTCCAACTGCTAGGAAGCAACAGCTTCTGATGACCATGGACTTAATTTTGTCCCACTTGATCTGAAATAGCTGTCTATCAATTATACTCAGTAGGCCCCTCCTGCACAGAAGTTAACAACAGGACCAGGACTTTCCCTTTGAAGGACAACATACCCTTTCTCTGAGCCTCAGTACTAGCAACCACGTGAGGTTCATAATGAGTTCTAGGTGGCATCTTCTTTACATTTACTTTATTGTGAGTTTTTGAAAGAGGGAGGTGTAATGGGGTCCCCTAGCCCTGTTAATAAGAGGCAGTGTCCACAAGGCTGCAAAGTACAGCAGGCACAGGTGGGAGAGTTAAAGGGCAACAGTGTCCCACCTGCGAACTGCAGACAGCAGCAGGTCAGACAGCTCATTAGATGATTAACAGCACCTGTGCCCTGTTACAAGGAAGAAGGGGATCAGATGACTAAAGAAGTCATCAGTGCTTATGTAGCTCTGCCTCTAGTGCTAGAGGTTCACTCTGGTCCTAATCCTCCCAGGAAGGAGGTCTCTCACACAGACATAAGTTAGTTTGTGTTGGTTTATTTGAGCCATGGTGCATGGCAGCAGCTACTGGGGAGTAGGGAGGTCATGGTGGGTGCCTGGGGATGGGGCTGCATATTTGATTGGTGGGATCTGAGTCCACAGAAAGACTGCTGGTCAGGGGGGTGGAGCCTGTGAGACCCTGACAAAGGTCTGTTAACAGGGAATGCTAGGGAGAGAGCAAGCGCTGGTAGAGCCTAAAGAAGTAAGTTTGCTAAGGTCGAGTGTAAGGAAAGACACCCTGCTCAGGGAACTAGGTTCAAAGATTGGGCCAAAGCAAGAGGGCCAGATGAGCAGGGTGGACCTCAAAGGTCACTCTGGTATTTGAAGGCTAACCTCCCAAATTCATATTTATTTTCCAACAAGGCAATACCCCAGGGAGGCAGAGTAAGGAACAGGCACCATTGCTGACCACAGAGGCAGGCCCTATAATAGGAGGGAATGTTTTAGTAATTTTAATATGAATGTTTAGTTACTCATTTGATATCCTTGCTGTGTCCTTTGTCCTAAGTCCTTTTCCCTTCTTTTATTTTACTCCAGTTTTCTCTAAGAATGAATGTTGTTTACCTCATAATCATTTATCTGTGATTTCCTGTAACTATTATTTTTGAAGTAGCAGAATTTGTCTGCTACCATCATTTAAGTAAATGGAAATATTGAGCTCAGAGAACACATAGCCTGTTTGTCATAAGGTGGGTCAATAAGCACTTGGAGGGAGGAAACGGGGAGCTCTACCACATTAGGGTATCCAAGAGGCCCTATGAGAGAGCTAGAACTAGGACTTATGATATCATCTAAAATATGTTAAACATTTAGCTTTGTTAATCAGCAATGTTACTGCATACCGTTCCTGAAACTGGAAATATATCACTAATGCTCCCATTGGCTATCCACTGTACTGTAACTCGGCCATATGTTCCCAGTAAACGTTCTACATTCAAGGTGATTAAATTGTCTTGTTCCATTTCTTCAACTTGCTTAGATAAAGAAATCTGGAAAAGTATAAATGTAGAAGGACCATTAAAAACAATATGAATATCTGGAAAACACATGAAGAGCTCTTACACAGATCAATTACTCGGTCATCCTGAGGAGGCAGGTACAAAATTTCCAAAAGGGGTTCATAACGCTGTTTCCTACATTCCTGTGTTTTTAAGAGGATTAGAGCCAAAGAAACGAAGGCCTAGATTCCCTGAACTGCTGGCAATATTCTGGGGCCACTTTTGGATAGAGGGCTGGGAGGAATGAGCATATTCCAGGGATAAGCCAGGTGGTCAGGCACTGAGTGGAGTCAGAGAGCAAGCTGGATTGAGAAGCCAGGAGATCAAGTACAGCATCAGAGCACAAGCCAGAGTGCCCAGACAGCAAGGTGGCCTAGGACCAGGTTGAGCCCTGATGTCCAGACACTTCCAGTTCCAGGTTAGGTGTTTATATAGGGGGAAGTGGAGGGTCAGCTGACCCCAGATGGACACTTCAGTGACACGGAGTGGGCAAAGGGTTAGGTTCTGCTGTAGACTTCACACCAGTTTTGACCAGCCTGGATGGCTAGCCACAGGGTGGCAGGCCAAGGTAAGCAGCCATACCCTCAGACCAAGGCCCCCCACATGAATCTTAAATGGGGCTACCTTGCCCTGTGACATACCCTAATAAGCCCATTGTGATAGGTCCTACAAGTATCTTTTTCTCTAGTTCCCACCACTCCAGTGTTCCTCCTGTACTGGTAGTGACTAGTCACTCCTTTGATTACCACAATCATTACAGAAATAATACATATTTGGGAACCATTTTCTTTCCACAGTCTTTTTCTAATGTTTAATGGACCTTGTCTTACTCAACATGGGACCAAAATCTCACAAAGGGTTGAGATGCTGGAACTGATTTTTTTATTGTTTTGGATCCTGCATAGTTATTTACATTTGTGCTATTAGGTATAAAATGCCACTAAACCAGTTCAGTTTAGGACACTGGAGAATCAAACCTATCTGTTCAGTTTACAATACTTTATGTTTCTATTTGGCCCTTGACAGATTATATCAAGACTAATGATGTAACTTAGTACTGTTACCTGTGCAAATGCAATGACTCCATGGGCATGGTCATTAGATGGAATAATTATGTTAACATAACCATTAGCACCAATCTCTGCACCCCCTTTAGGGTTTTTCAACCATACACTGAAGAACTCTTCTTCCTCTGGGATAATATCATCAAGGATATTGACTGCCAACACAGCATCCATGTCTCCAGGTTCAAATATCAATTCACCTGAACTAGCATAAAAAGACACATCAAATATTTATAAATTAAGGCCAGTTGTTTGTCATGGCAAAAATGAGAAACATTATGCCTTTGCTATGGCAAGGAAGGAAAGTTCAATTTCAGTTTCAGAAAAGGAAAGAACATGGCACATGACTTTTGTAGGGATGTTTAATGTTTTTTCTTCCTACTAGAAATTATGTGAAAAGTAAAACAGATTTACTTTTTCCTGCACCACCCTGATCATTTACAGAACAAACATGTAAAGCATAAAGAAGCCTGCTTAACTGAGATCCAATTTGTTCAAGTAAACATGCATCATGATTAATATATTATATGAATGAATATTAGAGAGCTATACAAGTCAATACACTTATTTATAAACTCCGTCAAAAAAACTAAAACTACCTTACAAAGCTGTAAAACAGTTAAGTATAAAATGTTCCTAAACATGAATAATCTATAACATAATTTTGTAGCACTGTGTGCTCCACTTATGTACATGCCAGATAACTGCATAATTTGCATAAAGCATAACACAATGTTAGTCCCAGTTTGTTACCTATTTCTTACATTGTAACAAAGATCTGCATATCAATTAAGTGCATAAATAGCTTAAATGCATAGATAGCATCTTTCAGTCCTGCACGGTCTACTTTGTAACCTGTGTCCTGTTTAACTGTTTAATTGGTGAAACTGACTAGGAGCAGTCAATTTCAAGGCTTCTTGATAGGTCTTGTAAATTAGATTGCTGCTATTATTGGCATAGGTGATCTTGGAAAAATAAAAGATAAGGTACAACAGAACAGCATAGGCAGTTCCTATAATTAAGTTGAGCATTAAGTAAGAGCACAGAGTTTTTTCAGTCCCAAGTTAAATACTTACGGCATGTCCAGACAGGCATGGATGTTTGGTGCCCCAGGGGTAAGTAGTGGTGATGCACCTTGTGACACCACTTGTCCCTGGGGAACATCTGTGCCACATGTGCTTTGGCACATGGCAAGCTGCCCCCAGGTGTGGTAGGGGAGGCTGGGGCTAGCACTGTGCTGGCCCCAGCAGCCTTACCTGGGATCCTGGGGGCCTTCTGGCTCTGTTTTTCAGCAGTGCACGCTGGCTGAGCATGTGTTACATTGGGGTTTTTTTCCACATTTTTCTGACCCCTGGATATCCATATATATTTAAGTTTACAAATTATTAAAATGATAAGAAACCCAATTAATATAAAAAACCCAATATTTAGATTCTGAATCAAGAAATAAATATTGGACTTTGAAATGTTCCCCCCCCCCCAAAAAGCAAATACTTTATAAACTGGGGGTGCATACAAAAAGTGCTTCACACATTTTACAGTGCCATAAATGAAGACCACTTTTTATAGCATATAAAAAGTTACAGTCCTCTTAAAAATGACATAAGTACAGTGTTGGGGGTGGGGGTGCCTCTGAGCCTCCATGCACTTTCTAGGCTAGGAGGTGCTCCACAGCCTTCTGGGATTTCTCCACTGGCCAGAAGTTTGACCAGCCTACAGAAATTATTTAAAGTGCTGCAGGTTGCTAAAGTGCTGTAAAATACAGCACTTCAAAATGTAATCCCTCATTTAACAAGGGTTAATTTAAAGCACTGTGCCCATTTTAAAAGTGCTGTAAAGAAATGCAATTTTGTTAAGCTATGGCAATACATTGCTTGAAATGGCAAAAAACCCTTCTGTATATGTTTTGATGATCAAAGTATATACTGGATTTAAAGAGGGGGTTTGTTTTGTTTTGTTTTTAAACAAAGGAGATAGTGAAACAAAGTAACTCAACTAGCATCAAAAAGAATCTATCATGCAATCTTCATTTATACAGTAAATGATGTGGTGGGGAAGATAAAGTTAGATTTATATGCAATATAGATACGAGTGAAATCCATTGATACACTCCATTTCAATGACATTTGGATCATGTTTGACTTTACTGAATTTTGGATCAGGCCATATGTGGAATGCAAGAACTTTACAAAGAGGGTACTTACAGGTTTGGACCCTTTCTTGGTCAGCAATTAAAGATAAATGAAGGACTTCAAAATAAAAATGATATAGAACAGTATAAAATGGGAAACTTACCTAGGTATGAAGTCTGACTGGTTGGAGACTGTAGTTAGTTCATAAATCTGGGAATATGAATCTCCAGACAGAGCAATTAAGCTTTTGCTGGAATTTAGTGACTTTGCCAGAGCAGAAGCGACATGATTAGCAGAAGGGGCTTCCAGCACTAGGGAAAACTGGTTTACTTCCAAGTTCCAGGAATACAGTGCTGATGCATCCTTACCAGCTAGTAGCACATGAACTGTATTTAAAAAAAAATGAAAGGACAGGTTAAACAACCAGTGTATGTTTTTTGTTCAATCCCACAGATGCTTGGAAGCGCTACATGGTCATTTTCACTTTCCAAATCTCATCCAAACAAACACTTGTTTAGTACTTTTATTCATTGATTTCCACAGTTACTGTTCAATTCCTGAGGGAATGGCTATAGAGAAGCAAAAGGCAGGGCAGATATGTACATTATAGACCAGTGATTCTCAACCAAGGAGTCACAAGATCCTTTCAAGGGTTCCACAGGGTGCCACACAACATTAGAATAGGTGTGCAGATATGATTCACAAGGTAAACTGAGAGATTTCAAATAGGAATTTGTGGTGTTAAAAAACATTCTGACTTGTTGTGTTCTTCCCAAGTTCTTTACAACAGAACAACTGCTCTATTATTTTTCTATAGTCAAAAAAAAAAAAAAGAGTGAAAACTAA